CCTTTTCATCCCCCTAAGACAGGGCTGGAATTAGGTGTCTCTCTAGCCTGACAAGACGTTGTTTAATGTCATTCAGTCAACTTGTGACAAAGGACCTTGATATGCCTGGCACTGTGTTAAGATTATAAAGATGAGTTAGACACAGATCTCTTCTCTCTAGGGTGAGGGTAGAAGTAAGGGGAGAGAGAAATGAAAAACGATGAATACACTTTTACCTGGTATTATCATGAAAGGCCCTGGCAGAACATAGAGGGTATTCTCAAAATGGGTACCTACATAGGTATGGGCAAAGGGTTAAGGGAAACCAGTGAGAAATGGTGAAGCACCCCCACCCCCTCTTACCAACTAGGCTGAAGGGACAAGGGAGGGGGTATGCACTGAACTTGGTAAGAGCCATGCCTATAGGAGAGTGCCATTTTCCAGGAGCCATGGCTGCTTTGGGGAGAGAGCAAGGGAATAATTATCCCAATCACTCTCTCCCTCCCTCCTACGATCTCTTGATGATACCTCCTGTGACTACATCCAACCAGCAATCAGAGAACATGAGAATGGAGTTGATGCAGTACTTAGAGGTCAGCACCCAGCACCACCCCAAGGCTGAAAGCAGGGTAAGTGGATTTTGGTATCACATCTGCATTAATAGAGATATGCATGAAGTATTAGGAACACAGAAAAATAAGTGATTCATGACTTGGAGACAAATTTGGAAGAAAGTTCCTATAATGGTAGCATTTGAGTGAGAACCTGAATGATGAGTAGGAGATTTCTAAGAGGAGAATGAGGTACAAGGGCATGAAAGAGAGAGAGAGAAGAGGCCAGAAGGATAAAAGTACAGACTGTGATAGACTGTGGTTAGGAAAAGCTGGTAGTCTGGTATGACTAGACCATTAGGGGCTTGGTGGGGTGGAAGGGGTAAGCAAGCATAATGAAAAATACTTGATGGCCATGCTGTGTAGTTTGAACTTTATTTCCTAGGTCAGCATCCTCAAAATGTAGTCCCCAGACCAGCAGCATTAGCATCAGCTAGGAACTTGTTAGGAACACAGTTAGAACTTTCTGTTAGAAATCAAGGGTTGGGACTTAGCAATCTGTGTTTTACTGAGTCCTCCAGGTGATCTGACACAAGTTCAAGTTTCAGAAGCACTCATCTAGGCATTAGGGAGTCACAGAAGGCCTTTCATCAGGAGTGGTGCAATCAGAGCTGTTTTTTCAAAAGACGGTTGGAGGCGGAAAGAAGAAGAGGGATAGGGAAAGAGTCCGTAGTGGGTATTCCACTCATTCTGCTGAGGGAGTTAGGAAGTTGCCAGCTGGGCAGTGAGAGCTGAAGTGAAGAGGGAAAGGAAGGACTGGTGACAATGGATTTGTGGGATGCGAGTGTGGACAAAGACAGTCGGTTGCCATTTTAGTAAACAGGATGTTGAGACCATAAAACCTTCAGCCACTACAGCCACCTTCCCCCCTTAGCTGCACCCCTACAGTGCACCCCAAGGGGAATTCAGAATGGAGAAAAACAGGATATTGGCCCTAGATAAGATGCATATCAAAGGAATAATTTAAATAAGCCCAGACTCTAGCATCTTTTCACATGTAGAAAAGCGCTAAAATCACTAACTTCAGATGTCTGTTTTTTTGGTGATTAGCAGTACTCTTTTGATATTTAACTACATTTTTTTATAGCAAAAATTTCTGTATGTCCTGGCTCCTCCCTTACCTCTTTGGAAGAGCCCTCAGAGGTATCTGAGAAGCTATTTCTGGGCTATAGTCTTAGTAATGCCCTGAATAAAAAACAGTTCTCAACTTTTAGGTTTTGTACTTTTTTCCAGTTGACACAGCAGAAGCCTACACTGCCTTTTTTTACCCCATTGAGAACCCTGGTAAACATTTACATCTCAAGGCACAAGGAGAGAAAAGCAAGTTCTCCTAGAAGGACTTGTTCCCTCGAGGTCAGAATTCTGAAAAGAAGTATTTTTGCAAGACAGCTTTTTCTGACTGCATATGCAAAAAGAACCAGTTTTGGAATTTTAAAAGAGTTTCATCTTAACCAATTTTCTCCATAATCTAAAGAATATTGTGGCCACACAGTGTTTAAAAAACATCACTTCCTTTTTCATCATAGGATTATAGTTATAATTCTGTCAACCTGCTAAAATCGTTCCTTTGGGCTTTGAGAAGGAGTGGATATATTTCCCCTCATCCTAGCTGGGCACTTTTCCTTTTCATTTCAAATGACTAGTCAACAGACAGACCGACAGACAGATTTTTCTTTCTGAGATGAAGGACTGGTACGGAGTCTCTACTGAGCCACTCCCTGCCTCAACTGGTACTAACAGTGACCCTTCAGGTCCAAATGACACAAGTGCAAAAAGAAGGGCTCCCAGTGTGCTCACCAGGGAATTTACCCAGTCTGGAGTACATCTCCTCTTCAGCAGCACATTTCCTTTTCCCAACAAAAGTGAAAGTAGGCTGTTGGGGCTGAGCAGGGGAGAAGCAGGGAGAGTCTTGGGGAACAAACAGTTTAGCAACTGCCAGGACATCCCTGAAAGTCCCCCTCTCAGGCCTGGCAAGCTGTGAGATGCTGGGTTCACATCAGTCCCAGCCAAACACTGTCAGCCTTTTGGATGGTGGCGGTGGGGGTGGCTAAGAACCACAGGGACGAGAGTCTTCTGGCTGGCTCACCAAAAATTTGTTACCAAACTCAGGTTCACCTGCTTGTCACTCAAGAATCTAATACCAAGTCCCTCAGAGCTACCCGAGAGGTTGCCTCCCAGGCTTGAAGTCCTCAGAAAGTCTGCCGAATAAAACATAATTCTCAACTCAAAAAGAAATAAAAGAACCAAATATTGAGAGACAAGCGTTGGGTAAAAGGAAAGATAGCTTTATTGAGGAAGTCTAGTCACCAGTGACCAATGATTCAATCAGTCGTGCCTCTGTAATGAAGCCTCCACAGAAACTCAAAAGGGTGGGGTTCAAAGAGCTTCCAGGCTGGTGAACAGTTGGAGATTTGGGGAGAGTGGCACACATGGAGAGGGCATGGATACCTTCTCCCCATATGCATCTCTTCCATCTGGCTGTTCCTGAGATATTCTTTTATGGTAAACCAGTAATCTAGTGAATAATCTGGTTTTCTGAGTTTTGTGAGCCACTCTGGCAAATTAATTGAACCACAGGAGGGGGTTGTGGAAACCTTTGATTTTATATCCATTCGGTCAGAAGCACTGGTAACAATCTGGACTTGCAATTGGCATCTGAAGTGGAGCGCAGTCTTGTGGGACTTTACCTGTGGAATCTGATGCTATCCCCAGGTTGATAGTGTCAGAATTAAGTTGGATTGTAGGACACCCAGCTGGTGTTGGATTGCTTGGATGTGTAGGGGAAAATTCAACACACAGAAATTGGTTGCAGAAACGTTATTATCTTTAGAGAGATATCAAATATCTCAATATTATTTGTAATTCTCTTTTTTCCTTTGGAGAGAAAGGCACCCTAATTTGCTGCTGCCTAGTGAGCATCTGGGTAATCCAGCACTGACGCTGGAGAGGTGAAACAAAAACACTTGAAGCAAGGAGGGGCAGGGTGTAGTTTGATAGGGTATTACGCATGCTTTCTTCAGAAAGGAGAGAAGAGATGAAACCTACAGCCCACTTTTACCTTTGTGGCAATCCATGTGTTAAGGAAGAAAAATATTAGTAAATGTGATTGTTATAGTTGAAAGTGGCAGCAGTTAAGTCAATAGTAGTAAAATTCTACTGTGATACTATTTAGCAAAAGCTACACACAAAACCAAGCAAAGACATCTGCCCACATGGTGTGTGGTACACTGTATGTGTTGTGGGAAACACCCAGAATCTCTTCCTCAGGAAAAAGAAAAAAGAAGTGGGAAAGAACACAGACAGTCTGTTCCTAACAAGGATATAACTTTATTTATAGCCGATAGAGATGATAATACTTTCCACAGAGCAAAAGCAATAATGCAAAGGCTTTCCAACCACTCACACAATATGAAACTTGCCTATACACACACCTTGCTGTCAAGGATCCAGAAATTAGCAGGAACCAAACTTGCTTTTTTGAAGCAAATTTAGCTAAAATATCAATAGATTCAAAACAATAATAACTGTAAGGCTTTAGTGAATCACTGAATAATTCATCAGACTAAGCTAAATATCTAATCTGATTTAAAAAAAATACTATTTACCTTAAGCTTCTTCAACTCTCTGGACAAAGAAAATGATTTTGGGTTTTTAAGTTCTTCAATCAAGACCTCCTTGGAGGAAATCTGCTTTGAGTACTGTGCAGGAATCCATTCTGAGAGAAGCTCAGAATACTGGGAACTCCATAGCCTGCTCCATGCGGGAGAAGACCCCTGTAGAAGGCAGTACGGCTCTGGGGCACAGAAGCCTTGGAGCCAGACTAAGTCCTTCAAATCCTAGCACTTGTACTTATTAATTATGTGACCTTTGTGAAAGTACCTATCCTCTCTATGCATCAGTTTTCTCAATTACAAAATGGGGATACTAATAAATATAAAGCTCTTATAAAGGGGAAAAATAAGGACACAATATTAACTATTATTATCTGAAAAAAAATTCTTGTGTGTTTGTGTATCTGTAGGAAAAGAAAAAGACATCCTGTTCATCACTTTTGGAGAGAGGCTGGGACATGGATAGCCAGGTAGTTTCTTACTGTAACTTTCTTCTGACTTGGAGGACCATGTAAAAGTAAATTTTGACCAGTCATATATTGCTTATAGTAGGCTCACCTCTAGCCTTTTCTCTGTCCAGAGATTATCAGGGAGAAAGGTTTTAAGGGAGAAGGCGTGGCTTCATGGGACTTGGCAAAAGGATGAGAAAAGTGCTACTGTGGGGACTACAGTTACTAAGAAAATGATAGTCTATGGAAATTTTGGGGATTTGTCTGTTAAAACTAGAAGTGGGGTATACTCAAAAGTATAATAGTATCTAGAGGAAAAAAATGTTCAGAGGCATGTACCATTATTATGGAGGGGCAAGTGCGTGCCACGTGGCAGATTACAGGGATCGGGGGAGCAAGGACAAAGTTAGAGGCCAGTCAGAGTTCAGAGGCCAAGTGTTCTGGAGTAAGAGACTCGGTTTTCCAAATCAGTGGTGAGGTCTCCAGAAATGGCTTCCTTACTCCTGCCTCTGCCCAAGATTCAGGGAGCATATATCCTCTGCTGGGTTGTTAGCAACCCGAGTCAGGCAGCAACAATTGATTAAACACCAGCCGTACACCAGGTGTCCTGAAAAATAATAGCCTTGTTCCATTTATTACCAAAGGTTGCTCAGTCTCTGCCCTGGCCACTTTTCTGGCCGTGGGGCAGGGAGGGGAACGTGGGTCTCCAGTTTTCCATAACCAAAGCCTTCTTCTCCCCTATTCACACTAGGATTTTTACTTTTAGGGTAGAGATTAAAGGGCAAACAAACAAAACTGAAGGACTGCCCCACAGATGGCAATAAGAAGAGGATCAGCTAGCAGCTAGTACTTCAGCTGCACAACGCAGAAGATGATTCCACATCCACAATGCTCCACCTCCACAGCCCTGCAAGAATGCCATGAGAATGAGGCACAGTACCTCTGCAGCAAAATATCACACAGATCTTTGGGGCTTTTATCTTCCGTACAATGTAACACTCCAGAAAAACTTCTTATTCTTACACAAACCATTTCTTGAGATGAAAAATTTAAAAGGTGTTCTTACATAAAGATTTAGATTAGTATTTACTCTGCATCTTCGACTGTGCCTTTTGCAAGCTGGGCTCAAGACTTCCCGTAGTCTTCTTACTCAATTCCTTTGTCTTTCAGCTCCTGTTTGACACGTTTCAGATAGTCAGGATCAGGGTAGCCATAACTGCAGAAGGAAAAAGGCCCTTAGCTTCATCACAGATGGTTTTAAAGAACCTGTACAGTAGGTCCCTGGCATTAACATTCAGTGTTGCAAACACTCACAAGCAATTCTGAAGGCATATAACTGATAATTATTTGGAAGTATGCAGATGTGAGTCATTTAGCTAATGAGTAGGCCTAGCTGTCTGCCCAGGATCTGCCTTCCAACAAGACTTTTTAATTTTGAGCTCATGGTAAGCAGTGACTCATAAAGTTACAATATACTATATTTTTATGGAAGGTAATAATTTTGCTACAGGAAGATTTTCACATTTGGGAAATTAAGTCTCAGAATACTAAGGGTTTGAGGTATTCTATCTGAATTTCATAAAGAACAATTGGATTGCCCATAATACAACTTCCATCATCATTAAGATTTTTCTAGACAAATATTAGCCAAGCATATTTAGGATGTCTATGGACTGATGGAAGGGTTGAAGAAAGGGCGGTCTTAAAAGAAGTCAAAGTAATTAAGATTCCTAGGTTCTGCCCATCAAATAGACATGAAACCCCAATTAAATCAACTTAGATACCATTCATCTTGGATTCTGAAGAGCTACCGCCCTTTGATACAAAATTTATTCACTGTATGTTACTTTGTGGTTGGCAGGGTAGAAGGTGTTGGGAACCAATCCTTTTGCCTTTGAGGTTATCACTCCAGATTAGCATCTGTCAAGATACTTAACTGTATCCTATCCCACTGGTATAAACTGTCTCCTTACAGCTACATCTTTAGCAGCCAAATTCTGTTTAGCAGCCATTGTGTTTCAAAAGATTCTTACCATTGTGGTCCCCCACTGCAGGATGTCTTGTGGTGGATATCGTTCCATGTAATAACATCTGAGAATCCTGATGCTCGAGACACTCCCACTGTGAAAATCAGTTTTTGGTCAAAGGCCCTACGAAGCAGGCGCAGAACCTCCCTTCCTTCCTGGTTATCAGGCAAGTATGCACTTCGCTGTATTCCATAAAATCTCTTTCCTGGGTTTGGGTGCTCTTTCTATATAAGACAAGAAAATATCAAGTGAAAACATTCCTGTGTCTAAATTTTACTTTATCTATAGATGTGTTTGCAGATAGAGCAAACAAAAAAACAAAAAAAGTAATTGAAGGTTTGCTCAGATTCCACATATAATTCATATTTCTCCTCTTTCCCCAAATTCCTGCTGGGAACACTTATCCACCTTCCTGACTTCCTCCACCCCAACACACAATCACCACCCACCCTTTCTCTGCCTTACTAGACACAAAAGATACCTAAGTTATAAGTAAATGTACCTTCATCAGCATTTAAAACCCTTGCATATGATCATGGAGATAATTACCTGGGAAACATACTGGAAAGAAACCCAAAGACTTCAGAAACACTTACTGTTTGTATGCCTCCTTTAATAGTATAAGTAATCTTAATGGAGCCACAGGATTCATAACCTGGAAGTGAGTCCTTTAAGTAAATGAAACTCATATTTCCATCTGGCTGATTTCCTTTCTGGATGCCGTAGGAAGTCTGGCACACAGGACAGACTGGCTTATATGAAAAGGCTCTCTCAATACAGAGGTTGCAGAATTCATGCTTGCACTTGGAGAGCACGCGTTTGTTATTAATGGTGTCCATACAGATGATACATGTGTCCTTTTCCTTGTCCACTCCTGATACCCCAGAACTGGCAGAGTGCTGGAATGTTGTTGAAGCTGTTTTTGAATCACTGCTGTCAGTGGGTGCATCATGGTCATCATTCCATTTTTCTCCAGCTAACGGAGAGATTCCCGCTCTGTTTAAGACATACTGTTTTGCCTTTGCAAGGTTATCTGGCAGCCCAGTCAAAGTCATTGACTCTTGACTTAGCACAAGGTGTATATCTGGATGTCTTTTTCTAAAGTCATCAGCAAACTTGGTCCCATACAAGTGCTTTTTCTCCTTGCCCAAAGCTTTCAGTGAAAGAACTTCTCTCATAATCTGACAAGAGACATGTTGGTAGGCATCGATGAAACTTGAATAAGCATGCACAGACAGATCTAACTCCTTGATTTTAGGTTTAAACAGAATGCAGGTTTTCTGACCTAATCCCAAAACCTGCTTTCGAGTGTTGTATTTTTTTTCTATTTTTGATATCTCCTGGAATAATTCCGCTTCTAAAAGCTTATAGTGAGCAGTGTCAACCTGAATTCCATTCATCATGTGCTTGGCAGTCAATATTTTCACGGGTGCCTTGATAAGACTTTCAGAGGTTTTTGAAGCAAGAAGGTGTTCAGCAGCTGAAATGTCATCTGTGGTCCCAAGAAGGGTTAATTCTCGCCCTTTCTCCTTTATGAGGAGCTTTGTAAACTGCTGGCTTAATTCTTGTTTGATTTCATTTGCCTGCTTACTGTCTGCAAAAGCAATACATTTCTGCCCCAGAGTCCCTACGTTCTGAAATTCACTGGCGAAAGAGTCGCGAGCTGCTTCGAGGTTACCTGAGATGAAGTCTAAATAGACTATATTTGAAGAACTCTCTCGAGCTTTTATTTTTGTACCAAATCTTTTCTCTATTGAGCCTATTTTATCAGGGTAGGTGTATGTGAAGTATTCAAAGAAAGCCAAGGGAACTTCGAAATGGTTGCTTTTATCCTCTGACCTGGCTTTTGGTTCAGAGGGAGAAACATAGCTGTGTGCATCCTGCTGATGGAGTGGCTCCATCTCTGTTGTCAAAAGGGAAGAATCAGGTTTCTGTTCTCTTTCCAACAGTTGCTCACTCAAGAAGCCATGTATTCTTTCAATATCTCTGAAGTCACCACACACCTTCTCAGTTCCATCACGGCCCTCCACACATTTGACATTGGGGCAGAGAATGGTGATCTGCTCCCTCTGCTCTTTGGAGAGCAGGTGACAGTTTAGCTCAGCTGTGACAGTAAGAAAGATCTGAAATTTTAAAAGGGAACAAATAAAATCTCTTAGACATCCATGCCTATGTTCACCTCTCAGGAGAACGTCTAGAGACTAGAGAAACAACCACTATGACTTCTTTCAAATCCTTTTTGTAGAGGATGCAACGTACTACAGCCCTGGGGAGTTGGGGGTGGGGTGGGAGGTGAGGGGAAGAGGCTCAGGCACACCTCCAGAGATTCTGATGTAAATGTAGGACCTGAACACTAACACTTTTAAAAGTTCTGTGGACAGGGAATCTGGTTTCTAGAGCTGCCACTATCTGTTTGACCTTGGGGGTTGGAGTGACGGAAAGGCACTCCGGCTTTCTGGGTAAATTGCTGTGATTCTCACTAAAGAATGTGAGCCTGGAAGGGAGTCATAAATCTGAGGAGGATGTTTTTTCCTATAATTGTATTTTCTCTTCTACTCTCCTCCTTTTTAAAAAAACAAAACAAAACTAACCACCTAACTACATGCAGTGTTGCTGGGTCCTCTAAACCCTGGCCTTTAGAAGCTCAAATATAAGACAAACACATGAGATTAGGCAAAAAAGGACAGAGACAAATTGAATGTACTATAAAAGCAAGATTTCTAAAGTTTTGCTCCTCTTCAAGGTCTTCACACATGCCATGCACATGCCATTTCCTCTGCCTGTAACATCCTTCCTCTAGATCTTCCTCCAGAATGTTTCCTGAATCCAGCCACTGCTCACGCCTCCATCAGGACCACCCAGAGTCCAGGCCATTATCATCCTGCACCTGGCTCACTGTAGCCCCTCCTAACTGGGCTCTCTCACTTTCCACTTTAGCCTCTTCCTACATTCAGTTCTCCACGCAGCAGCCAGAGTAACCCTTTAGAAATATGAATCAGATCACTGTATCCCCCTGGCTCAAAACCATCTAAGGAATCTCCTAACATTTAAGTTAAAATCCAAAGTCCTGATCTTCATCCCTCAAAGACCTGACTTCTGGGTACCTCTCCAAGTTCCTCTCTTACTCTCTCTCTTGCTGTCTGCTCTCCAGCCAGCAGGCCTCCCTCCTTGAAGGGGCTCAGGATGTAGGCTCCTGTCTGACTCGGTGGTGGGGGGGGTGTCAGCCTTGCACTTGTTTCTTCCTTCTGCCTAGAATTTTCTTCTCCTAGAAATCCACTTAGTTAGCTCTCTTACTTCATTCATGTCTCTACTCAGATGTCATTTCATTTGAGAGGTTTTTCCTGATATCCTACTTAAAACAGTGGTCCTGTTACTGTCATTTATCCTGCTTTCTTCTTCTTCCTAGCACTTATCACTGCAGACATTTTGTTTCATATCTATTTGTTTCCTATTGTCTGGTTCCCTCACTAGAATGTAAGCTCCTTGAGGGCAGGGTCTGATGTGTTCCTGTCTGTATCCCCAGCTCCTGGCACACAGAAGTCATTGTCAAATGACTGCATGACTGGCTCCTTCTCAAATGTCACCTCCTCAGACACTGTGACTTCTGGTCAGAAATAACACAAACTCCTTCTTCTTCCTTGCCTTGGCCCTGTCACTCTGTAAATGACAAAACCTCATTACATTTTTTTCTCAACACATATCACTCTCTGAAATGGTTTTCCTCATTTTGTTTACTTGCTTATTGTCTTTCTGTGTACCTCTCCACCCCCAGCAGGGACCTGGCTGTTGTGTTCACCTCTGTGTCCCTGTTGCCTAAACAGTGCCAGGCTCATACTAAGTTCTTAGTAAATGGTCCTTGGACTGGAAAGGATTTTGCAGGAACATACCCAACTCCCCTCAATACTCACCTTTCTGACACAGGAATCCACAGCATTAGGGATGTGCTTTTCATTTGGATGCTTCTCACCAGACCTCGCCCCTTTTTGTGACTGTGTCAGAGAAGACATTCTGGCCCTTGTATTCTTCTCTACTGCATTTTCATTGGGTTCCAGGAAAATAGTCACAGTTTTGTCGTCAACCACAATTTGGTGCTTTCCTTTTTTCAACACTCCCTCCTTACCTTCAGTGGAGACATTACATATATGCATAAACAGAAATGGGAGATTTTAAATAATCCTCTTACTCATGCATCTGTATCCTGCCCCAGTACCCTCCCAGTAAGGGCTGCTCCATGCATCCTGAAATGGTGAGTTGGTGACAGGGGACCTGAGGGAGATATTCAGAACTCTTAATTAGGCAGCTTACATTTTACTGTAGAAAGGAAGGCTTAATGATAATGTAATATCCACTCATTAAAAGTCATGTTCCTGAAACTGTCTGTTTCCCATTTCAATGACATGGAGTAATGCTCATTATAAGTGAAAAAAAAATCAGGAGTAAAAAATGTAGACTGTTTTGTAACTATATATGTATGTATATGTGTTTACTGACATTCAGAGGAAAAAGTCTGGGAGTAAATATACCAAAATGTTCAGATTGTTTTTCACCAGGTGGTTTTCTTCTTTATTCTTTACCCTGTCTTCTATAGTGAGCATATATAACTTCTGTAGCTCTTAAAAACAAATCAGTGGAATAATTGTTTAAAACATAAAAGCAGAATGGCAAGGGCTGACCGATGTCGGCGGGTGGGAAGGGTGTTTATTCTTCTGAGAGCTGAGAATTATGAATCGGGACGAGGAACTGGAAAGTGTCAACCTGAAGGCGCAGTCTTCCCAGATCACGGACTGGGCACTTCTGGGCTCTGTTGGGCTGCGCCTCCTGGCTGCAGAAGCCCCTAGTTCCTGTCCCCCACCAGACGATACCAGACTCGCCTTCTCTCCTGAGGCAGCTTGAACTGGGTCTGCACGTAATCCCCCGGAGCTGGACCCCTCAGGGACGGCGGTTGCCCCCCTCCCCGCCCCTGCCCTGGCCCACAGCTCACCCGCCCGTTGCTGGAAATCCACCCGATAGGTGCCCTGGTCGCTGGGATCCAGGGCACGGACGGTGCACTCTCCGCCTCCCGACTCCCGGCTCTGAAAGTACTTTTCCAGCTTCCTTTGAAGACGGATCCCGGGCTGGGACACCCGCACGAACAGCGGGGACGGCGGGCAGAGGTTCGAAGCCATGGCTCTCTGTGTAGGGCTCTGGCGCGGCAGCTTGCGACGCAGCGGGGCCGGGGCCGGGGCCGGGGCATGGGTGTGTCCCGCCGCGCTGCCCCCAAGCGCAAAGTTTCAGTTTCGCTTTCTCCGTGATCCCTTCTGTTTTCCGTCAGAGCCACTCCTCCTCCTCTCCTCGCCGCGGACTGCCGGGTGAGTAGGTCCCGTCTCCCGTCCCCGGGGCGGTGGGCGCCCGAGCCTCCCGGGTCTCCTCTCCTGCAGACTCGGGCAGGGAGCGGGTGGGCGAGGGGCGGGCTCCCAGGGCCAGGCTGGTGAGGATGGAGACTGGGAGAGATGCTCAAGGCAGAGTTTCTCCTGAGTTTGTGGTTCTTTTGACTCTTATTGTTGTTACTTTCGTTTGCAGCTGAAATATAATTCACATTCTGAATTCAGGTTAAATTTACCAACACTTTTAAAAAATTTGAATTTGTTCATCTGCATTATGGCGTACAACCCGTTATCTCCCTCTAACTATCGTTTAGACTGGCTCTTCCGGTTTTTCTGCGCTTCTTTCAACATTTGGCTCAGTGCTGAACTACGTGCTGCCCTGCGTAAAGGTGAGAGTGGAGGCACCTGACCGCACCAGCTGGGAGGCAGACGTGTGATTAAAGAAGCAAAATCTCTGGAAGGCTTCAAGCGGAAGTTTGAAGTAGAATCCTATAAGAGAGGAGGAGGGATGGGGAGGATCTGAGGCACAGGGACCACTGTATCTGAAGCACAGAGGGCACACTGAGGCCTTGGACGAGATGAGATAGGTGAGAGAGCCGACAGAGGAAGGGGCTAGATCAGTGCTGTCCAACAGAAGTGTAATGGGGGCTACAGATTAATTTAACAATTTTTAGTAGCCATATTTTTAAAGTATAAGCAGGCAAAATTAATTTTATGTTCTTTAACTCACTATATCCTAAATTAACCGTTTCAGCATGCAGTCAATGTTAAAAAACATATTCATGAGATATTTTACATTCTTTTTTGTCATCTTAAGTCATTGCAATCCAGTGTTTATCTCACATTTACACCACCTTTCAGTTGGAATTAGCCACATTTCAAGTGCTCAAGACCTACTTGTGGCTAATGGCCCACACTGGACAGCACAGTTCTAGATGGTGAAAGGTCTTGAAAATCAATGGGGAGATATGGAAAGCTTGAAAGCAGGGCAAGCAGGAGAGTGTCATATCAGATGTGCATTTTAGAAAGCTGATGTTGACAGTGATGTGGAGGGCACATTTCCATCTGTGATGAATGGAGGTGGAGAGGCCAGAGATAAGATTTTTGCACCTGGCTGGTAAGACTAGAAATGAGTCCGTCTTTATGAAGAGCGATTTGACAGTACTGCCAGAATAATGACTGCATATACATCCTTGTTCTGCAGTTCCACTTCTAGGACTTTGTTCTGTTGACTGATTAGTACCTGTGTCAAGTGACCTATGTACTAAGTTATTCTTTTTTTATAATAGCAAAAGATAAGGAACTCCATAAATGTCCATAAAAAGGGGGACTAACTTACAGTGCATCTATACAACGGAATGCAATGAACAGTAGAAAGAATGAAGATGCTATGTGCTAATATGGAAAGATCTCTAGGATTCATTAATGGATAAGGCAAGATGCAGGGCAGTGTGTAAAAGATGCTACCTTTTGAGGATGGGCACAGGCTCTGAAGAGCAGTCTGACCAAAGCTGGTGTCCCAGAGAATCCTCCCCATGAGGGCAAAGGCTCAGAGGTGAAGGAGAGTTTGGAGAACATCAAGTAGTGCCATTTCACAGCACTGCAGTTCCCCTGGAGTGTGGGGTATGTATAAAGGAGTCTGGAAAACAGAAATGACAGAGACCCTTGAATGTCAGGCTGAAGAGTTTGGTCTTTACCGTAGGTGATGGAGTCTGCTGAAGATTTTGAGCAGAGAATGCTTCTCAAATAAAACCCATCTTTGTAAGGTGGGTTTTTTTTTTTTAAAGATGTTACCTTTTATGTAAAAATGCCTCTGGAAGAATGCAGAAGAAGCTAGTAACTTATTGCCTCTAGGAAAGAAATTTAGTGAGGGGGGTAGGAGGGAGCCTTTTACATTTTATAAAATTGAGCCTATTAATATAATACCTATTCAAACAATAAATGTACAATTAAATACATTTAAATCTTTAAAAAGAATTTGTTGCCATAGTTCAGGCAAGAAGCCCTGAGGTCCTTAAGTGAAGTGGTATTAGTGGGCAAGGAGGTAGGGCCATATTTGAAAGTGATTTAGTTGGACAGGACCCAGTGATGAGTTGAATATAGGACAGAAGAGAAAATTCTAGATTTCTGACTTGAGTGGATGAATGGTGTATCATTTACTCAACTGTAGAATCCAGGAGATAAAGCTTGGATTTTGGAGGGGATTGGCTGAGGGTAGGTAGTGGTGTAGGGGACTGGGGATGAGGAGATTATGGGTCCAGTTTTGCAGCGTGTTTGAAGGGACTATGGGACATCAGGTCGACTTGAAAAATGAGGCTTAGGAGAGCAATTGCCTAGAGATACGAATATGGGAGTCTCATATGCAGATGGTGAGTTGAAGCCATGAGAGTAGATGAGATCACCCCTAGAGGGTGGGTAGAATGAGCTGAGATGTGCTTCTCAGACAGAATCCTGGGGCAAATGATTAATGGGTGAACCATGGATGTGAATCCAGGGAAAAGGCCTCTAAAGGTAAAGTGAAAAGTAACAAAAGAACCCAGGTAAGATGGCATAGGAGAAGCCAAAAAGCAGAGGTTCTGAAATCAAAGAGTGAAATGAAGGATGAAACTATAGAGAGGGGTCAAATAAAGATTATTAGGACAGAAGAGAGTCCCCTGGGGTTAGCCGCCTGGAGGACACTGACAGGCCATTTCAGAGGATGCTGGGGGTGAGCTAGACTACAGTGGGTTGAGCAGGCAGACGGGCAGAGTCAGCCCCTTCATGCTGCCTGTGAAGAGGTAGGAACCAGTGATGGAAAGTTGGGAAGGCTTTTGTTGCTATTGTTTTTAAAATGGACGAGCCTGAATGTTTTGGACAATATGCTCTTTGTTTCTAATTTCTTTGGGGTTAAATGAATGCCACCCCCACTGCCAGGTCTGTCCCAGGACCTTTAAAGCCTGGGCTGAAGAAGAAAATTAAGTGCATCATCTAAAGCAAAAACCCACTGGGAACCCCACAGCGGAAGCAGACGCAGAAGGCGTCCTTTTGTGTAAACAGCAGTGCCCTCTGGAGGCAAAAATGCATCTTCTTGTATTTTAGGATTGTATTTGGACTTAACTGCTTTTCCTGACACAAGAATAATAGTGCTCTGATACTGTAGATAATTGCACAAAGGTTTCCTATTTCTAAGGTATTAGAAATCATTTCATAGGCCTAAAGGCAACCATGTGGCAACAAGTGTGGGTAACTGTGTCTGTAGTCATTTTCGTCATTATTCTCCTCAAAATCCAGTCTTTAATTCCTACCTGTTAGATGGGAAAAAAAAATCATTAAAATTATGTTTTCCCAAGGTCTCTGATCTTTATCTAGGTAGTCCCCATTCTAATAGATCAGGGATATTTATCACAAACTCAATACTATACGCCATGAATGGCACAGGTGCAGCTCCTTCTTTCTTCAGACACTCTCCAGGGGTCTTCACTCACTCATAGACTGGTTTTTCCTCATTGTTCTTTGAATGCTTTGCTCAGTTTTACCACTTGTTATCATCCTCCTCTTCTAAATATGTAAAAGCCTGCTCCATCATTCAAGGCCTGGCTCTAGCTTCACCTTCCCCATAAAGCTTCCCCTGCTATGTGCCATACAGCTCTTTCCCTTTGAAATGCCGTTACGGTTTCAACTGGAACCTCTCTTTAAAGGATGGAAGGTAAACAGAACAGTAGCAGCAAAAACAATGTGTGCCTCTTCACCAATGAAATTAAAAACAACTCAAGATCAGAAATCGTGTTTAATCTTCCTGTTGTGTATTCTCACTAAATTCCTAAAGATGCTACTCAATGCTTGTTACATCCTTCTCTTCATTCCTAGAAGGGGGCTGCCATATTTGGGAAACGCAAAACGGAGTCAACATACAAAAACCCCAGAGACCTGGAAGATGGACTTTTTCAAGGTAAAAAGCATAAATGTATATAAATAATAAACCTTGATCAGCATGTGAATGGTTCTTCCTGTAACAGCAAGAAATCTGGGGTCTTCAGTTACACCTGGCATTCTTACTTGGTTTTAATATCCCTATAAATTTTCCTCCTTGCCCCATGTGAGAGATGGGAAATCAAGAATATGCTAATCTAATCAACAGAGTCAACATAAGGATGGGTGATTTCTTTTTTAGATGTCACTTCAGTATCATTTTGATTCTCTACTCATTCAGCAGTTCTGCTTTTGCAGGATTGGGAAAGGGAGGGTGATGGAGGAGGAATAAAAATAAGGCCTAGGGAAAAGGCACCTCATTTGTTTACCCTGACAATTCCACCTTCAGGCTTGTGTCATGAAATAAGCAGTGGAAAGTGGATCCTTACTGGTAGATGGGGAGCTGTAGCCGATGAGGCCCATGTGCCCTTGTCTTTTCTTCTCCCCGGGAAACCCCACCAGCTTTTGGAGATTGGAGTCCTTTCTGAGAGTTTTGGGACATTTTGGCATGTGACCTTTGAGCCTTTCAAGTGTTAATGTCTAACCCTTCATCTCATCCTGAATTAAAGTGCATTGGCCTCTAGGGAAGTGGGATAGGGTCAGTGTTTGCTGGAACATTTAGTGTTTCAAGTATTTTAGGCACACTGATCAAACGAACAGATAAACAAATGTGTTCCTCTTTCCCCTCAAACCCAGTGGTTATAGGAAGGTTTCTGTTGCTTTATGTTTATTAGGCTGTTTGTCAGCAGTAATCTGTAGTCATTCGGTCTCATTTTTTTTTTTTTTAAACCACTCTCACTTTTCACAGGGTGTTGGAGCAGCAGCTTACAATGAGAAATCAGGTAGGATCACCTCATTCTCTTGTCTCAGAAAGTCTTTGCTCAGATCTTTCCTCAGTGGAGAAAGGGGAATACAGAAGGAGA